AAAAAAAAAAATATATATATATATATAACTCTTTTACATCTAATTCAATTTTTAAAGTTTTGTTTAATTCTTTTTAAATTAACTTTTATTCAAATAATTACATCGTTTGTTGGAGTAAACCTACGTATACTTTAACAAAGTTACGAAAAAAAAACATTTTGAGTAACTTTTCAAATCAAATTAACGAATTAGTACGTAAATTTAGACCTTAGAAATAAAATCATTTAATTATTTTACATAAAAGACATCAAATATTTGTAAAATAAGCGTTTAAAATTGTTTTTCGAAGCATCTAACGTCACGTATTTACCTCTGTTTTAATGTAGACAAATAAGAATTGATGTAATCTGCACTTAAAATTTATACAACAGAACTAAAAAAATGAAATGATAATAAAACTTCCGTTATTATTATTATTTTTATTGCTTATTGTTTATATTTTAAACCGTTCTTTAACTGTTACGATATCCGAGCGACGTTAAAGACGATACGACATTGAACAATCTGCCAAAGAATTGCTTCCCCGAGTAATATAATAAAATAAATAAAGAGGAAAAATATATATATATATCTTAGGAAAAGAAAGATTTAAATATATATTTATACCTTATCTGAATAAATAAAAGCGTAGTTAAAGTGGACCGCGTAGGCATGAAAATAAACAAAGACTTATCTATCTGCATGTAACACACGAAATATCTTACTTTATTGCATTTTTAACTGCAAGCTTATTTTTTTTCCCCGTGCAACATTGATTATTCCCAAGTACGGTACAAACTGTTACGGTTCGAGTTTGCCAGCAGCACAATTAGTGTCACCCAATCAATCACTCAAAATACATTAATAATAATGCCTAGAAGAGCGGCAACAGTTGCGGGCTATCTGCTGATGTGAGGGGTTTTTTTTTGTTTTTTTCTACGTCCCTTATTAATATATTTATAAATAATTACTTAGTAATTTGTGTCGGTATCATTATTATCGGAAATATTTCGAATCCGAAGAAAGAGTATTAAAAATAAATCCAATAGTAAGAGCGAAAGGAGGAGTTGGGAGAGAAAAACGATTTTTATAAAGAAATTCCCTCATCCTGAAAATCAATATTATTATTACTCGGAGTGTTAGAGATTGTCAAAGTAAAATTTATCGAAGTAAATTTAACAAAGATCGAATTTATTAAAGTGTTTATTACTTTTCACGAGGGAAGAAATTTTAATAATGTTGTAATTTATGATGCGAATCTTAAATGAATGCAATGCCGTAATTACGCTTAATATGAGATGGATAAAATTAAACATTTTTAGTCTTTTCGGTTAGTCGAAACTTTCATAAATATCCGGAGATATCCGAGAGCATCCAAAGATGCGGAAAGAGAGATGATGTAATGAAATCCTCATAAATAATCCCAGCTAGGTTGAATGCCCTTTGGGGCACCAATTATATCAGTTATACCGAGTAGATGTATCGCAAATTAACAGAAAAATATATGATTTTATATTATACTTTTACAGTACATTCTAATTTCAAATCTATATATATTTTAACTCTAAAAACATCCTGTATCCTAGATACAATGAGGGACTATAGAGATAAATTTGGTATTTTTCCTTTATTATTTCCCATATATAATTACGAAAAACTAGAAAGAGCAGAGAAGCTTATCGGTGGCATTTACATTTAAATTTTAATAACCCAAATTCAAATTTAGGTAGCGGATAAGAAATCAAAAAATTCGATTTATATTATATTACCTTTACAGCTTCGTTATTTAAATAATTATTTAAAAAGAAATAACAAAATGCTAAGAGTACGGAAGACGAGGAATCAACACACACATTTGAATTTTGACAGGAGAAATTCTCTCGGCCGATCTTCTTTGCTTAAAAGTGGGTGAGGATGTGCAGGTTCAGTCGCATCACGTGATCGCCATAATATTACCAGTTACCGTCAGAGGGAGTTTGGCAGTAACCGCATACGTTCGGCCCGAGCGGCCGTTAGCGGGATTGTTTTTACTGTCAGCGATGGATGGAACGAATCGAGATAATATGTGAAGATAAACGTACTTTCCTTTGAGATAATAAGGAGAAAAATCATCGTGACCGCAGATATATCGATGATGACAATGTCCATTGAGTGTGGCTGTCGAAGACATGAGTGCAGTCGACAACGAAGATCTGACGGAAGTAAGTCTCCTTCTCTTAACAATAACTTTCAAATAAGCTAAACTTATCGGAATATATTCCTAACAAGGTCTTACAATAGAAGATTTACTAACCGAGTGTAGGAAAGATTGCAAATTTATTCTTTTTTTCTATTATAAATTTTCGAGAGATAGAAAATTAAAACACATTTAAAACCATTATTTCTTCGATTTTCATACGTTTCGTTTCGAAAAACACTAGCTGTTTTTATCAATTCGGTCAAAACACCATTAGAAAAATGATATAAAATATTGAAAGACACGAAACGGAATTATTTTTGTACGCTCGGAAACAAAACCGTGTTATGAGCCTCCTGACGACAAAATGTTTATTCCTCCTCGTGTTCATTAACATGAAAGCTTTTCTCTGAAAAATATATACCGCGATTACGTCGCGTAGATAATTGACTTGGCCGGAAAACTAATGCAAAACTCTCATCCCAACGTGTAAAAGTAGTTCTGAATAATACATAGACTTATTCTGTTATGTTTAGTGTTATTTTTTCTTGTGTAATTATCATTTTTTTTTTCAAACTGGATCTTTGAAAACTTAATAAAAATGTGGTCATTTTAAAGCTCTTACAAACCAGCTATGAAAAAACTTTTATATTCAGGTTAGTTCTTAAAATATAATCACATAAATCCTTTTTTGGGGGGTTAACGACTTAAAGTATTCGAGACGTTAAAACCCTGCTAGTAGCTAATTCTTTAAATTCTTTAATATCTTTAGATTTTACTGAGCTACAAAGATTATAGTCTTAAAATGTTGAAGATCGATTAATCTGGCATATTTTCTTAACTTCAAACTTATAGAGAAATTATCTTTACGATCTTAACGCTTCTAATATCAGTAATTATAATTTACTTTTGCAATTTCTATGTTAATTAATGCAGCAGCTAGCTTTATATCTCGAGATTAACATCTTTTAAGATACCTTAAGTATCTTCGACGATTAATATCTGCAAAAGATAACCTATCGAAAGAATTAAAACTTAAATTTAAACATCGTTATATCTCCGAAACGTAGCTTGAATAAGAAAGTACGGAATCAGCGATGAAACTAGGTCATTACAAACATTCCCTTTGAGGCAATGGAATGCGGTCGGATCGTCTTCCAATAATTTATATTATTCACTAAAATATACAAACATTGACGTTAACTATATGCAGACAGATTCTGACAAAAGTTGAAACGTCCACCTCCCTCCTTTTCTACGTAAAAGAACGATTACTACCATTGCTATACGCCTACAATCCATTGAACAGAAAGTTAGAGACAAGCTATCGACCATAGAAATGTTAGTATTTTTTATCTTAAGGAAATACACGAACCATTCGCATTATCGTCTTTATGACTATAATTTGTCATAGGGTTTGAGAGAGAATTTGCCCCGAATCCGAACTACTGCAAGATACAGTACAGTAGCTTGTGGCACGCTCGTTCGTGAGAATGTCTTCTAGTACTACCTGTACAATCGTGTTTTCTTGTGTATTTCATTCTCGGATACGTTCCATCTACCTTAATAGATTACTATATATATATATTGTAGACATTTTCCGGGTATCCGTCACATTCTTCTCTTTCTTTATTGCAGATTTAAACGCTCCAGAATATTCAGTTCTGGTTGCGATCATTGAAAATGATTACTTACATTCTCAGTTCTTTTGTTTATTCGCAAAAGACTAATAACGAATTAGAAATATTTACATTCTGTAAATGCATAATTGGACGTGCGAAAGAGATACCTATGATCTGATGATCCACAACAACCAATCGATTTTCATCTAGAAAATAGACCTATTCGGTCTCTTGAGAAAATGACGTCAAAATGGATTTATTTCTTATTTTATTTTGCTTTAATCGATTGTTTAATATTGTTGAATGAGCGACCAAGGTGTGAATTTATTTTATTTTATTTTTTTTCCTCTACAAATCTCCACAGAGTGCCAATCCCAATCTGTTTATGTAATTAACAAATCTTTAAAACGTTCTTAGAACTCCACGGTAATTTTAAAAATTCTCCAAAATATTAAAAATATAAATTCTTCCATTAGTGTAATTTGTAAACATTAATGCCCAGAAGGAAAAAAAAAATTAGCAGAATAACTTTATGAATTTTTTTTTTTTTTGAATAAATTTTCGATGAAGAAAAAATTAATTCTGAATTTTAAAACGCATTAAAGATACTTAATTTTTTTTTCTTTTCTTTTTTGAAAAAGTTACTTCAACTCTAAAACAAGATTAGGTGTAACAAGATTAGCGCAACACGTGACCGAGCAGATGACAACAAATGAATAGAAGTTTAGGAAAGTAATTGAACTAATGTTAATGGAGGAACACTGCTTTATTTTTAAGCTACACTCGAACTCGAAAATGCTACAAATTACGCGATTCTAATCTATGTTTATCATACATTCAACTTTTTTTTCAAATCTATTGTTTATAATGGATTCTTTCTACAATTTACTTGAATGGAAACTAAAATAGACTTATTCGATTTATAAATTTTCTTTACTCTCTCTCTCTCTCAATATTTAAATAATTAACTTTTTTTTTAATATTTAAAAAAACTTTAATGGAAATAATTTTTTTAACAGCATATTAAAGTATAATAACATTTATTCGATGATATACGTTGACACTTTGAATAGCTTTTAAAGTTTTAGGATATGAAAGAGATAATTTATTTGATATTTCTTTTATTTTTTTCAGCAAAGGCCTCAGAAGCAGACATTCATAGAATGTCTAAAACGCACCGGTCATGTTAAATGCTTCCTTCTCACCATTCTTATCATCGGATGTCTCGCTGTCATTATCTGGTGTCGTATAGCGGAGGTGACGCGTCTAGTTCTCAATTTTCAAAGCTTCCCCATCACAACCAGAAGAAGAGTAAGCCCTTGTGACGAAGGCTACATCTATATCCCAATCGCTTTTGTAGTCATGCTGTATTTTGTGTATATAGTCGAATGTTGGCATTGCAGTACACGGCTGGAATTAATGTATAAAGTTGACACTAATGCAGTTTACAATTACATTCAACACATGAGAGAATCTCAACCGATTGTTTGGTGGAAATCCATATGTTATCATTATGTGCGAAGAACGAGACACGTGACCAGATACAGAAACGGTGATGCCTATACCACTACCCAAGTATACTACGAGAGAATTAACTCGCACGCTTCGGGATCGAGCTTTGTTTACAGTCGATGTGGCGTTAAAGATATATCAAAGAATCTGGTCGATCTGGGTAAATTTCCAGCCACTAAGATTCGATTTACCAAAGGTTTTGCCTTCGCCAATCTAGAAGCGGCTAACGAGTTCGACGAACAAAGAAGAAGATTTTTTCAAGAAAACGAAAGAATCGACGATTACATGGAAATGAGAGAGGGTTTAGATCTGGTGGGAGTTAATTTTCAAGAGTATATGGTGGCTTTTGCCGATCCCGAAAAACTCCCTTGGTACGTTTCCCATTTGGTGTTTTGGTTTTTTTCTTTAATTTTACTATCGTGGCCTCTCAGAATTCTCATCGAATTCAAAACAGCTTACGTCCACTATCAGGTTAATAAACTATTCGGGGTTAATTATATGACACCTTCTAGCGGAGCGGGAAGATTATCACGTGGGAGCACCATCGACAGTTGGGAACTCGAGCATCACATTACAAACAACTTTTCTCTGGCTCCCAGTTATTCGGAAGCTCTTTTGATTGACAGAATACAAACAGATGATAATGGAAACATTCCTAATGGTGTTTGCATGACCGGTCAGAACCATTTCACTTGCATGAGTCTTCCCGTATCTGCCAGTCGTTCTTCGTTACATGGCGGTCGGTTATTGTACTTTGTAGCACCTCTGTCACCCTGTGGAGAACCTCCAGCCTACGAAGAAGCTCTCAGAGTTAGTCGACCTTTAGCTACGTCGCTAAGACGGTCTCTAACTGATAGGGATTTGGTTGCAGTGGAGAGAGCTAATCGTCAACATCTTCCTATTACTTTAGAAACAGTTTTATGACATCCACGTTTGTATCTTTTTCTGTACGCACACCGGATATGGTTCCTATCTCTGGCACAATATGCACAGGTTTTTCGAATTAAAACAATTCAGTTGGTTATTATTATTATTACTTCTTTATATTTTTGGCTTGCGCACTTCACTTTCCAGCCGAGATACCAAAATGTATGGAAACGATTCACCAAATAAAGCAATAAAAGTGAACTTACACAACTGTTAGCTTCTATTCTACCAAATCAATTCCACTCTAATATAACTTGAACTCAATCGAATATTTAAAGTATTCTATTAAAATAAAATCCATCAAAAACCATTTTTTTTTAATTTAAATTGTTAACCTTTTTTAATTTTAAAAACTGAATAAAAGTCATTTTTTATATGTATATATAATTGAAATTTATTTTAAAATAGAAAACCAACGGATAATAACGAAATATTACAGCATCAATGTCATAAATTCATAAGATGTTTAAATATTTAAAAAATATATAGGCCTATATATGCTTGCTCTAATATTTAAATAGTGATATCATCAATCTATGCATCCAGATTCAAATCGCTTTAATGAATAAACATTCCAAAATATTGTCTCTCGCAAGCAAGCATAATTAAATATTAATTTCATTTAAAAAAGTAAAATGTTAATAAAATTTAAATATCGATAACGTCTAACATTTTAAATGTATGCTCTTTCTATATGCTATAAAATGAAGGTGCATAAAAGCAAAGTATTGATGTAAATATATCCGATCAACTCAAATAAAGTCATTACAGTTATATTCAAGAAATATTTTTGCTATTATTATTATTATTATTATTTGTATATTGTATTAATAATGTATTATGCCTTCAATATTTAGTGAAGTAAAATGATTGCCACATTTACATAAATTCTACAAGTAAATAACCGATATTATCATATATATTAATTCAAAAAATTAAGCTTGTATGAGCAGTATGACTGTAATGTCTCAAACATAAGACAGATGTTATGAACCTATTGGACATATCCATACAGTTATGTAATATTGTTAATATTATATTACTATCAGTCGTATCAATTGCTGTATTTTTAAAAATACATTAAGCCAAGTTACTTCATTGTTAAAGTCGTATCGAATAAACTAGTTATCACTCGGATATTCGAGCAAAATCATATTTTAAAATGTAAATCACTCCGCAAACAAAGACCGTGAGCCATTATTTAATAGAGTGTAATGATTCCACACATAACAGCTGCTCTATAATAACAAAGTTCATTCTGGTATAAAAAATCAAGAGTATTAAACCCATAAAACAAGTTATTCTCAATACTCCATACAGAATTTATAGAAGAGCATTAAAAGTTACACCTATACGCTGTATAAACACTTTAAACAAAGGTAGCTGCTGTATAATTGTTTCGAGTAAGTATACTATTGTGTACACAATCTTTAAGTAAATGCCGCAGGTGCCTAACCGTATCCAGCGAATGCCTCCGGTGTCGTAGTGTAGAGGTACTGTACATTTATAAATAAACTGTACGCCTATACATCTCGCTCTATAATTTATTAATTTGTCTGTAAACGAAATTAATCGTCGTAATACGGTTCACTTACATAGGAATTATTGGAAATGATTCCTGCCTATAACCAACCCCGAACAGATATTGGACGTGACACTAACGCCACCTGTCACATGTGCAGTCGGTTGTTATGGTAACCATCAAGTAGAAGAGGAAAGGTCAAATGCACCATTCCGGTGTGACGTCACCAAATCAGTGGACGTTTCCTCTCATCGCTCGTCTACCGATCTTCGATGATATCGAAAAAATATGGCATTAAAAATGCCTTTTTAGTACTTTTCGATATTTTAAATGAATAATGGGAGGAAATTAATAATCGACAAAATTTTCATTTATATGCTAATAAGTCCGGCATTATTAAAATTTAATTTTAAAATTTCTGAGACAAAAGTGGAATGAATAAAAATATCGATTTTCGACTCCAAAACACTTTGTAAAATTAATTTATAACATGTTTTATTTTAAAGACGAGTAAGGAAACATTTTTATAAAATGACAAATCCGTCACAGTCTTCCATTCTTTCCAACATTATATCCTTAATTATATTCTCCGTTTTCATATTGAATCCGCAAAGTCTTACGTCGAGAACTCTGAGATTCTTATTTAATTTAATAGCTTTCTCCATCCGAAATCCGACTTCCTAAGGGGAAAAAAATAATAAGAGTTCTAAAATTAGGTCTTCTAGTTATCTAATTCGAGTCAGCTGGATCAGTTCTCTTAGAGTTTAAACCATATTAATCTATGGAAGCCAATGTTGAATTAAAGCTGAATAATGCTTACTAACTCTAAGAAAAGAACTAATTTAAATATAGGCTATATGCATTAAAAGAAAAATATGACTTACGATTCCTAAATCATTAGCAGATAAATCCAAATGTGTTAATGATGATGTAGTTTTAACAATGTAAGCAAATGCTTCTCCTGCTCTTTGATTTAGTCTATTTCCAGCGACACTTAGTCTCTTCAAAGTCGAATTATTAACAAGAGCTTTGCATAAGCTAACTCCTCCATCATCCTCTATCTTATTTAAAGTCAGATTGAGATGCTGTAGCTTATTGTTACGTCTAAGTCCAGTGGACAGATACTTCGCGCCTTCGCTTCCTATACGATTATTAACTAAAATTAATTTATTAATAGGACAGTCTGATAAGAGAAGACGAGCTAGAGCCTGGCAACTCTCATTATTTACGTAATTATGTCTTAAGTCTAACGACTGTAAACACTTATGATTGATTAACTGTGATACTAAATACAGAACGTTATCGTCATCCAAGTTACAGTCTTTCAAACAGAGAATTTTTAAAGAAGTTAATGTTTTTAGGCATTGTCCCAAACACATACAATCGCTACTAACAGTTTTAAGTATATGCATGTCGTATTTACTGCTGGAACTCTTCATATCATACGAAATCTCCAATTCTTGTAAATTTGGCATGTATGGTGCTAAAATACTCCAATTCAGTCTTTCCTCAATAATGTCATCATCAAAGTTTTCTATATTCGTTATTGTTAAATCTTTTTCTATTGATTTAAGTTGTGATATTTTAAGACTCTTCATAAAATCAGAGCACAATTTCAAATAATCTGAAAGTTCATCGTAACTATCCTTTAACGGATCAAAATTTTGGATCTTTTCTTTTATATAATGTTCTACATATATATTTTTCCAAGGTAATTTATACTGAAATTTATCGTCTACTGCACAAATGTTTAAACAGCAACGTTTCCAATAAATGTCATCTGAAATTAGCTGTAAAGACAACTTCAATGGAAGTTCTTCAATATTCGATAAAATCATTTCTCGATCGGCTTCTTTCAAACTATCGAACAAAGATTTCATCCCTACAATTCCTATGTAAAAGAAATAACTTATATACTGAAATAAACAAAATAAAGTAAACCAAGCTCATAATAACATACTGATAAAATCTGCAATGATAACGTCTTTGGCAAGATCAGACAATGATTTAACAGCACTTTCAACAATTACAGGCGTACACAGTTCTTCATATTCTTCACTCTCTTCCACTTCTTCTTGATCTTCTGTATTAACTAATTCACCGATTTTAAGTTCATCCGGTTTTTCCAATTCCTTTAATGGTTCAGCCAATGTCGAGGGCAACGAAAGAATCGAGCATATAACCAAATTCTGACTTCCGTTGAATCTTGCATCCTGTTGGCTTACAGCTGATAAACTTTCTAAAGTTTCTAGAGCAAAATTAAAACTGTTTAATTACATTTTAAAAAGTTTATTATAATATTAATTAAATACGTTGTTCTTAAGAGTATTTTAAATGTACGAAACGCCTATGCAACTAAATTAGTTAAATATGTACAGTACAGTACCTACTTTCTACCATACCTTTCATCTTCATTGATTGCTTCAGTATTAAAATTTACAATGTTACTGATTGAATATCTACATAGAGGTAATTGTTTTTGATTTATATTTTATTAATTTTATATTCTACTACTTTATTATTTATAGAATTATAAAAGTAGTCACTCAGCATGTAGTAAAAATCTCCATATAACACTCATAAATAAAATTTATTTCAAAAATAGCCTATAGAAGGCATATATTTATCTTTCTCTTTATACAATATAACAAAACAAAATTAATAATAATAAATCAAACATGACTCTATAAAAATATACTATAACATGCATTAATATATTATATTACAGTATAACCTCCAAATAGCGGACACCGAGAAGTTTGTCCGCTTTTTAGAGGTAAATATGATAGATGGAGATTGTAAAAATGCTCGTTAAATAGAGGCATCCGTTAATGGAGGTTTTACTGTATTTGTATGTCACAGAAGCTAACATGTTTCTCTATTTCCTATTAATTTCGTTGAATCTTAATACCAAGATATTGATATTTATAAATATATAAGTAATATAACATTTATATTCAAATATGTCGAGTTCAAGAAAGGATATTAGATATGTACTGTACTTCATAAATAAAAATATTTGTTTATTTTTTTGTATATTTTTAGCATGTATTTATAGGATTTGTATTGCAATTCCTTGTAGAATGTATGCCTATTATGGGATGTAGCGGATCTTGTGTTACCAGTTTACAAGTTGACGGTCCTAAGGATTAAACTGTATCAAATCCATAATCTTGTAGATCGAAATGATTATTTTTTGCAATCGATAAGGTTTATAAAAAAAAAATCTAAAGTGAGTAACGTGGAATTTGTTGTCAGGATATTTCATACATTAAGGATGCGACTATGCAGATGCGAGCGAGCGAGAATATGTGGCGAGAAGAGGTGAGAGTGATAAATATCAAACCCTGTCAGATATATGCGAGAACCAGAAAATCGTTCTCGCTAGAGATATTTCTCGCTTCTCGCTTGTGCAGCTACTAAATTCGCATCTGTATAGTCTCACCCTATGAAGACACGAATTTAATAGCGAGCGATATAGTTCTCGCAAAGGAAAATCATGCACAAGCGAGAAGCGAGAGCAAATTTATGGTTCTTGCACATATCTGAAATTGATCATTTTGGCTCCTTGTTAAAAACCCCCACTGGGCTTGGCTAAACCATGATGGGTATGGATAAAGTTTTCTTAGTGCTTGTAGGATTTGTCCAAGCCCAGAGTGAGGGCTGTTGATGCAAGGGACATTCCTTATGTATCCAGGACAAATTATCCACTAAAAGAACTCGCAGTGGAA